ACATTTATGGTATCACTAGCACCTATGTAAAGAAAATGTTCACTGTAAAACCCTGAACACATTCAGGAAATTATGGCTTTGTTTTTACTTCATTTTAAATATGCCATTTTTATCTTAAGTCACCCTAATGCAGTCACTGATGTAAAACAAATGCTGAAATAGAAGGGGGTTAATTAATTATCATATGAAGGAAAATGCTATAGAAATCCCACAAACCTTTAAGACACTTTCCACAGGGCATAATAGGTGTGTGTGGGGGTGGGGGTAGGTGGGGATGGAGAAAGGGGATGGGTGAAAACCGGCAAACAAACAAGTGTTGTGTTTTCCAGACGAAGATCTTACATTCTGCTTAATGGGTGTCTTTAGGATGAAGTGATTATAAATGTATTTGCCTGATTTTGTAACTGGGAAGACACAGCTTGCTTCAGGAGGGGGTGTTTTTTAAGGAAACTTCTTGAGAAGCCCACATTGCCTGCAGGCCTGCAGGTCTTCTTTTTTCTCGAGCAGGCTCCATTGCAGATCACATGAATTCTGTGGGTTGAGGAAGATAAGAAAAGGAAATCCAAGAATATCCGTTTTTGTGGCTTGTGTGTGTGTATAAAGCTTAATTTATTTCTTCCCAGCTCCTGATTTTATTTTCATGTTTCAGTTTTATCTCTTGCAGCTGTTCTGATGTTTGATATTAACAGGATAGTAGTTTTTTGTTGTTTTTGGTTTTGTTTGTTTGTTTTAGTAAATATTTTTAATTGATATTTAAAACTTGTAGATAGCTGGCTGAAATGAAATATTGTTCATTAATTCTTCCAAGTTTTTAAAGAAGATTGGAGCATCTCCTAAGGGAGAGACAAAACTGGTAGGGCAGATATTGGAGAGAAAATGCCTGAGACAGTCAAAGACTGGAAATGCTTACATGAGATAAAGCTTGACTCTGCCAATCATTTTAAAGAGCCAACCTATGCAAAAATGGGACAAGTCTGCACACTAGGTCAAGGATAGAAAGTAAGATCTACTTATCCTAGATAGGTTTCTCTTGTACTCAGCTAGCTCTTTTAGACTTTGCTCCAGACTTTCTAATACAAATGTATGATGATACATTTACGAATGATACTGCTGATTTTTTGAGGGTACTAAAAGAAAACTCCTCATTTAATGTACATGACATATGTATGCAGTGTGGCAGGTTAACTCTGGTTGGCCACCAGATGTCTGCCAAGCCTTCCTACCACTGTCTCACTCCCTGTCTTCAGCAGAATAGCAGGAGAACATGAAATGTCAACAAACAAAAAACAAACAAACAAAACCAAAGCCAAAACCAAACCAAACCAAAAACAAACAAACAAACAAAAAAACTTGTGGGTTGAGATAAAAGCAAATTAATGAAAGAAAAGCAAAGGCCACAGTTGGAAGCAAAGGAAAAACATATTCTCTAGTATACATCATCAGCCAAAATCCAACCATTTCCAGGAAAGCAGAGCTTCAGTTTGTGTATTAGTTGCTTCAGAAGACAAATGCTTTCATAATCATAGAATCGTTAAGGTTGGAAAAGACCTCCAAGACCATCGAGTCCAACCATCCCCCTGCCACCAATATCACCCACTAAACCCTAAGCACACTAAGCCCGAAGCACCATGTCCAACATTTCTTTAAACACTCAGAGACGGTGACACCACCATCTTCCTGGGCAACCCATTCCAAAGCATAACTACTTTTTCTGAGAAGAAATGTCTCCTCATTTCCAAACTAAACCTCCCCTGGTGAAACTTGAGGCCATTCCCTCTAGTCCTATCACTAATTATCTGGGAGAAGAGGCTGACCTCCAGCTCCACACAACCTCCTTTCAGGTAGTTAGAGAGCAATAAGGTCTTCCCTGATCTTACTCTTCTCCAGACTAAACAACCCCAGTTCCCTCAGCCACTCCTCACAGGACTTGTGTTCCAGGCCCTTCACCAGCTTCGTAGTCCTTCTCTGGACACGTTCCAGGGCTTCAATGTCCTTCTTGTAGTGAGGAGCCCAAAACTGAACGCAGTACTTAAAGTGCGGCCTAATCACAGCAGAGTATAGGGGGGACAATAAATTCCCTGGTCCTTCTGGCTACACTGTTTCTGATACAAGCCAGGATGCCCTTGGCCTTCTCGGCCACCTGGGCACACTGCTGGCTCAGGTTCAAGTGAGCACCACCAGTTCCCTTTCCTCTGTACAGCTTTCAAGCAACTCTGCCCCACGCCTGTAGGTTGCATGCAACTACATTCTGAGTTAGTATTTATTTTATTTTATTTTATTTTATTTTATTTTATTTTATTTTATTTTATTTTATTTTATTTTATTATTTTATTTTATTTTATTTTATTTTATTTTATTTTATTTTATTTTATTTTATTTTATTTTATTTTATTTTATTATTAGGAATATAAGTAGATCTGATTCATATACATGGCAGAAAAGGAACTGGAGCTATTCATTTTGTATTAGACCAAGGATAGCATGCTAGTCAACATGGATCCAAAGCAGACATAGTCTACTGAATACTACACAGCACATACACAGACAACACAATATTTCTTTTTTTATTCCAGTCATCAGCAATGACCCATATTAACACTCCTAGCCAGCCAGCTATGAAAACAAGAGCACTGCCTCCAAGTTGTTCCACGTCAAGCTTGGCATACATTGTCTGGGTTAGTTCAGAGCTGTCTTGAAAAGGAACACTTTTCTAGAAATGGGAAAATTTCCTCTTCAAGAAATTTTCTATTCTAAGGCACAAATTACAAGCCTTGTTTAACACAAGAGGGCATTGATATTATGTCTAAGAAGGAAGATAGTGCTTAGAAATGCTTTTTCTGTACAATACATGGGCAGAGAAAATGTGATATGGTTAACTCCTTTGCCAAAAAGAAGTTTTTTGGTAAACTTTACCTCTGCAACATCTATTTGTAAGGGTAGTCCAGTGGAAAGCTTATGCATACCTACTTGTTAAAATCATAGAATGGTTTTGGAAGGGGCCTTTAAAGCCCATCTAGTTCCAACCCCCCTGCCATGGGCAGGCACACCTTCCACTAGACTAGGTTGCTCAAAGCCCCATCCAATCCGGCCTAGAACACTTCCAGGGAAGGGGGCATCCACAGCTTCTCTGGATAACCTGTTCCAGTGCCTCACCACTTTCATCGTGAACAATTTCTTCCTTATATCTAATTTAAATCTTTCTTTTTTAAAAAACAAACAAACAACACATAAACAACATTACCCCCTGTTCCTATCACTACACTACCTTATGAAGGGTCTCTCCCCATCTTTCCTCTAGGTCCCCTTTATGTACAGAAAGGCTGCTATAAGATCTCCCCAGAGCCTTCTCTTTTCTAAGCTAAATAACCCCAATTCTCTCAGCCTGTCTTCATAGGAGTTGCTCCAGTTCTCTGATCATGTTCATGGCTCACCTCTAGACATTCATGTAAGCCACCTTATTATTGCATTTGAATGTTCAGAATTTCATGGATCACTGTCATTCTCATGCAGCACCTCACGTTGGGAGATGCTTATAGAAATATGAAACAATGTGATATCATAGATTATACCTATTATCTAACATAAAGCAGAGCTATGCATTTTTTACCTGTGTTCTATGACTCATCTGTGTTAGATATGTCCATGGCAAATGTTTCAAGTACTTCATTTTAAACAATGATATTTGTACCAAAGAGGAAAAAAGTGCAAATGCAATTCTGATTTAATAGTCTTGGACTGGATCAAACTGTTCAAGATATGGAAGATTGACAGACTTTCTGTGTGTATGTAAGAAGGAGATGTACACAGGGGAATTAGTCTGTCACTGGGGGCAAATAAAACCTATACCACTGCTCTGTTGCCTCTCTCTTCCCAAGCCCATCAGCAGCTTCCTAGAGAAAGATTCATAAGAGCTGTTCCTTCTTAGGAGCATTCAAAGAATAAGGGGTGCATTGTCTCTATCTTTCTGATTGCAGAGATCAGCAATGACAACTCCAGCGTCTAGAATGAACTTTGGTCATTGTGTTTGTTACACAGTTTTAAACTCCTTTCTTCTCCTACTTTCATTTTGTAATAAATCAGTCCTGTATGTTCTTTTCCCTTTGTTATGCCACAGAAATATCTTTGCAAACTTAAACCTCTGAATTCTGTTTTTACATGATAATACCAAGGTTGAAAGAAAGAAAACTCATCTCTGCTATTATCAACAGATAACAGATTTAAAATATTTTCCCATTCAGTATTCCAATGAAATCATTTCTCAGAAAACTGGAAAGAAAAGAGTATCAGTTGCAGAAAGTAACAGCAATAGAATGTTTACTTGGAAACTGAGAAAGTTTTAAATTTGTGCTCTATCTTCTTGTCTTGCACTTAACCCTCAGTCTCTCATCAAAGGGAAGTGTCCTGGTCACCTAGGCTTTGAGCTCTTCTATAGTCTCTTGTATTTTCCACTGGAGCCACTACATTTAACTATTCGTTGCTGAGTAGGATGGGCAAAAGGGAGGGATGTTTTGTATCTCAGTGACTAGCACCTCAGTCTCTCCTTATGGCTATGGTTTTGAAAAAGAACCTCTATGCTAATTCTTAGAAATCTTCCACCTTGAAGTCGGTATGTGAATCCCCAGGATACTGTGGTTTTATTCATCTTAGCATAGCATCTTTCATGAAAGAAAGTGGAACAAAGATCACATTATGTATGTATGTTGGAACCCTGAATGCTTTTTTTGTATGTCAGGAAAGATATAAAACTATTCTCACATATGTGTGCTGTCCTGATTTACTGTTATGGCTGGGCAGTGGTCTATGCTTAGTTGAGTTAGCTTTGTTATAAATATGTGGATTTCAGATGGTTAATGCTCTCAGAATAAAGATCTCATAGAAGTTAACTGCTACAGAATCAGTGTAACAGGTCCAAAATAGAAAGTAGAGGATCAGCATGTGACTGTTCATTTTACCTTCCCAACAAGGCTTCCCTAAGTAGCAAGCAGCAGCTGCAGTTAAAAATAGAAGGTGATAAGCAACTTTAGTTAAACACAGAAGTCACCCTTCATAACGGCAAGAAAGCAACAATGAAGTCTCTCCGATTCCTTAGCGCTGAAGCATTCGTGTCAAATGCAGACTTTGCAAGGAAGAGTCTCAGCAGTGTTGCCCATAATCTTTTTCCTCTTCTTTTTAAAGCAAGCTATTTATTAGAGCAAGGGGAAGTGATTCATGACTTGGTAAAGAACTGGCCGCTTGTCGACTTTAACATGGGAAAACTTCTGGGAACTACTATGGACTACCAGGAAGACCTGAGCCACAGAACATGCTCAGTGTGCTTGGAAAGCTGTCTTACAGGGCTGAGAGACTATGTCCTGCATCATCCTTCTCCCTATGTGAAAAGGTTGAAACTAGTGGACCTGACAGGTATAAAAGATGTTGAAGTTCAATTTTGTGACTGTAAGAAGCCAATGGGGAGGTGGGCCAGGACAGAGTTGCTCTCTAAGCTTTGTTTAGAACTGCTGGTTCACCTGCAACAAATGCAATGCAAGCCATGTACCTTTAAAATCAGTATTGATGTGCTAGTTGACTTGTTTGTTACGGAACGCAACTATGAGCTGGTAGTGCAGGCCCTGTTGCAGAAATGTTATTGTCCACTGAAGATCTGCTGTGTTGCATTCAGAGCTGACAACTTGGCTTTGCAGAAATTCTTCTATATCATAAAGCTCACTGACCCCTCTTTGTTGCGCAAACTGGAAGTAGTTCACAATGTTCGCCTGGAAATGGAACACTTGGAAATACTCTTCAACAGCATCCACTTCCCTCTGCTGATGTCCTTGACCCTGCCAGCACGAACATTTAATGTGCTGAGACACACAGCTTCAGATGAACTGATGCTTACCACAATTGGAGAAAAGATGGGTGAAATGACACAACTGACTGAGCTGAGTCTGGCTTTTTCTATACTCACAGGAAGAATACAGAAACTGCTCAGGTAACTTGGTCATCCTGCTTTCAGCCAAAATGTAAAGAACAGTCATTAGTGCCATCAGCAATTTGAGAACCTTGTAGAATAAGGGAATTGCGTGTATCTCAGGGTTTTTGTGAGAAAGAGCAGCAGGAAGCTAGGGAAGAGTATCTTGGGGTGAGAAGTGGAAGTCAGTATATTGTCTAATGCATGTAGAAAACCTGACTTTCTTATTAGCCTTTCACAACCCATCTAATGAGTATGAGAATATTTTCTTGTCTGCCAACATAAGAGAGGAGTATACCAGGACATCTTTGGTTTGCCCCATTCCTGAGCTTGTATCTCAGCTTGGGCTGGCCTTCAGTACAAGACTTAAAGCATATTCAAAGTGTTTTTGAGTCCTCTAGTGATTTTTTTTTTCCTTTAAAAAGTAGGTTGTAAATATAGTTTCCATAGATACTTTATATTCATATATGCAGGAGGCTATTTCAAATGGGCAGAGGAGCAGGGGATCGTGGCATGCAGTTGTTCCTTACATGAAGGACTCTCAAGGCAGCCGAGGGAACTGCCAGGACCCTGTAGCCCTCATGAGAGTGGCTGATGGGGCTTGGGTGGAGCCAGGAGCACCCCTCTGTTGTACAAAGGCAGCCCTTGGTGAGAGACCAGAGCTCAGCAAGTCAGTCAGGTCATGGTGGGTTGGTTTGTGCAGCAGTTCATACAGGCGGGACAAGCAGGCCAGGCAGAGTATCCCTCCCCACTCAGGGGACAGGCTCACCTATCATCTGTATCCCAGACATCCCAGCAAACCCAGCCATGGTCTCCACCAGGCAGAAAGCTCTCAACAAAAAGACTACGGCAACCCAGACCAACTGCCATCCCCAAAATGTGGCTGTTCAGGTCTCCGGCTGCAGGGGGTGCCTGAGCCTGTTGCTGCCCTCTGAGGGTGGCAGAGATAACACCTGCATTACGTGTGCAGGTGAAGGATCTGATCAGCCTGGTGGCAGAGCTCAAGGAGGAGATGGAGAGATTAAGGACCATCAGGGAGTGTGTGCAGGAGTTAGACTGGTGGAACAACTCCCTGCAAGGCCTGCAAGAAAGGCACCGGGGTGATACTGTTTGGGGTCCACCCCAAACAGTCGTGGACCCCCTGTAGCTGTCGGGCAGAGGGAGGGTACCTAAGAGATGAAGAGGAATAGAAATGGGTCCCTGCTCGGCATTGCAAGCAAGCCTCCTCCCTACCTGCCTCACCTCCCTTAAAAGGTTTGAGGCTCTGGAGCTTAAGGTAAGGATGTAGGGGAAAGTCCACCCAGGAGGTTCTCTACGACATGGAAGTCAATTCCATGCCTCAAGACTTCCTCCACCAAGAAGGAAAGAAGGGTATTCGTTGTAGGTGACTCCCTTCTCAGGGGAACAGAGGGCCCCATATGTCAGCCAGACTCTACCTGTAGGGAAGTCTGCTGCCTCCCTGGGGCCCAGGTCAAGGACATTCCTAGCCTGGTTCACTCCTCTGATTATTATCCCTTACTGATAATTCAGGCTGGCAGCAATGAAATCGCTGAAACAAGCCTGAAGGCTATCAAAAGGGACTTCAGGGGATTGAGGCGGTTACTGGATGAGTGGTGTTTTCCTTTATCCCTTCAGTGGCAGAGAGAGATACTGAAAGGACCTGGAAAGCCCACATGATAAATACATGGCTGGGAGGCTGGTGCCATCACAGGAATTTTGTTGTTAGTTTGTTGTTGTGTTTTTTTTTTTTTTGACCATGGGGAGGTTTACTTAGCACCCGGCCTGATAGCTGCCCAGGTACCCAGCCAGTTTTTAACCCAACAAAGCATACACTAGTCCAAGTCATGAGCAGCCAGTTTCTTCAGGAGAGTGCTGTGGGAAATGGTTTCAAAAGCCTTACTGAAGTCAAGGTAGACCACATCCACAGCCTTTCCCTCATCCACTAAACACATGTCTTTGTCACAGAAGGAGATCAGGTTCGTCAAGCAGGACCTGGCTTTCATAAACCCATGCTGACTGGGCCTGGTTGTCTGGTCGCCCTGCAAGAACCACGTGATGACACTCAAGACAATCTTCCCTGGTACTGAAGTCAAACTAACAGGCCTAGAGTTTCTCGGGTCTACCCTCCGTCCCTTCTTGTAGATGGGCATCCCATTTCCTAGCCGCCAGTTGACTGGGACCTCCCCTGATAGCCAGGACTGCTGATAAATGATGGAAAGTGGCTTAGTCAGCTCTTCCACCAGTTTCCTCAGTACCCTTGGGTGGATCCCATCTGGCCCCATCGACTTGCATACATCTAAGTGCTCTATCAGGTCACCAGCCATTTCCTCATGGATTATGAGGGCCACATTCTGATCCCCATCTCCTTCCACCAGCTCAGGGTACTGGGTACCCAGAGAACAACTGGTCTTGCCGCTAAAGACTGAGGCAAAAAAGGCATTAAGCACCTCAGCCTTCTCCTCATCTCTCGTCACTAAGTTTCCCCCTGCATCCAGTAAAGGATGGAGATTCTCCTTAGTCCTCCTTTCCGTGTTTATGTATTTATAAACATTTTCTGTTATCTTTAACAGCAGTAGCTAGATTAAGCTCCAGATGAGCTTTGGCCTTTCTAATTTTGTCCCTGCACAGCCTTACAACATCCTTATAGTCCTCCCGAGTGGCCCGCCCTCTTTTCCAAAGGTCATAAACCCTCTTTTTTTTCCTAAGCTCTAGCCACAATTCTCTGTTCAGCTAGGCCAGTCTTCTACTGCGCCAGCTTGTCTTTGGGCACGTGGGGACAGGCCACTCCCAAGCCTTTAAGATTTCCTTCTTGAAGACTACCCAGCCTTCCTGGACTCCTCTGTCCTTCAGAACTGCCTCCCACGGGACTCTGCCAACCAGTGTCCTGAACAGCTCAGTCTGCCCTCCAGAAGTCCAAGAAAGCAGTTTTACTGATACCCCTCCTGACTTTACAACCTTTCAGGTCCCTGACCCGGGCCCCAGGGAGGCAGCAGACTTCCCTACAGGTAGGGTCAGGCTGACATATAGGGCCCTCTGTTCCCCTGAGCAGGGAGTCGCCTACAATGATCACCCTTCTTTCTTTCTTAGTGGAGGCAGTCTTGAGGCGTGGAGTTGACTTCCTCGCCCTAGGCATCCTCCTGGGTAGACTTTTCACTTCATCCTCACCTATCAGTCTCTCAAGCTCCAGGACCTTAAACCTGTTGTGAAAGGGCACCTCGGAAGGCGAGGATGGTAGGGAGGGGGGTTTCCTGTGACACTGAGCAGGGACCTGTTTCCATTCCTCTCCATCTCCTAGGTCCCCTCCCTCTGCTGCACAGTGACAGGGCAGAGGGTCCCCCCACTGTTCAGGGTTTCTCAGCCCAGTGCCTTTCCTTCAGGCCTAGCAGGGAGTTGCTCCACAAGTCTAATTCCCTCTCACACTCCCTGATAGCGCTCAACCTCTCCACCTCCTCCTTGAGCTCTGCCACCAGGCTGACCAGGTCATCCACCTGCTCACACCTCACACACACGGTGTCTCTGCTGCCCTCAGATGGCAGCAACAGGCTCAGGCGCTCCCTGCACCCAGACCCTGTTTGCCCGTCCTGGCCGCCGCGCTCCCTAGGAGCTGTGTTTGAACGGCCGGGGACGGGGCGCTGCTGGTTCCGCCTACGCCTCATCAGCCTCCCTCGCGAGGGCTGCCGAGCCCTGGCAGCTCTCTTGGCTGCCTTGAGTGGTCTCGATGCCAGGAAGCAAGCCCTGCCTGTCCCGATCCCCCGCTCCGCTGCAGAATGTGTCTGCCCCAGGAGCCAAGCGCCTCGGCGAGTGGATGCAAAATGGCAGCGACGCCCTCTTGGGCATTTCAACACATACAGCAGAGACAAAACCAGAAATAAAATCTGATGTTTTGCTAGAATTCTGATTGGCTTTCATCTTGGAATGAATCCTTCCTTAAAGGACATGATAAAAACCTCCTGAATGGTTACAGCTTTCTAAAAGAAGCCACCAATGCTTTCATGGTAGTAGTGATCTGATATTAATTCAGCAAGTAATGGAAGCTGACAGAATATAACATAATATACACATAGTATGTTACCAAATTAATACCCTCTAAACCAAAACAGTTCGAGTCAACCAGCTGGGCACTGTGATCTAGTGGTTGGCACACTGCCCATGGCAGGGAGGATGGAGGTAGATGATCTTTAAACACTCATTCCAACCCAAGGCATTCCGAGTCCTGTAAGGTAGGAGATAATTTACAGAACTGATTGCAGGAGCAAAATATACTTGTCATTGTTGGAACATGCTTCTGTTTCTCAAACGAGACTAATAAAATAATGAATGTGGCATATGGCTGCATTCATAATGTGAATAGTTATGTGAAAAATTGTGAATGTAGCTTTTCAATGTTTTATGGAATATTTTTTTATTTTTATTTTTTAATTCTGCAGCCCACTAAAAACTCCGCTGAAGATGCTGGATGTTTCTAACTGCTCATTGAACCATGATGATATGGCCTATTTAGCCAATAGCTTACATTCTTATCACTTGGAAGTCCTGGACCTGAGTGGGCATGATATACCTGGCCTTTACCCATCAACATTCTTCAAACTTCTTAGCCATTCCTCTTCAGTGCTTAGGAGTCTTATCTTGGAGGACTGTAATATCCAAGATAGTCATGTCAACATGCTGATTTTAGGCTTAAGCCCTTGTCATAAACTACAGGACTTTAAATTTCTTGGAAACCCACTGTCATCTGAAGCACTTAAACACCTTTTCGCATTTCTCTGTGAATTGCCAATGCTGAAAAATGTGGAGTTTCCAGTTCCAATGGACTGTTACCCTATTGGCATCAGCTATCCAATTGATGATGCCAGTCTCTGCAGATTTGATCACCAAAAATATGAAAAAATAGCAGAGGAGCTTAATCTCATTTTACTCCAAGGAAATCGTGAGGATGTGAAGGCTTCAACTCCACTCTTTGGCAGTTATGATGCAGCTGTTCAGGAGACAAATGAAGAATTGGGAGCCTATTTGATTATGTCCTTTAAGGAGACTTTAGAAAAGTTCACTGCTTCTCTTAGCAAAATGAGTTAAAGTTATAACACAGTGGTGATCAGATGTTCTGCCGAATCAGAAGCAAGTTTAGTCTTTACTGGAAATGTGGCCTTCATTGATCAGTTTTGAGCTTTCTTTAATTTCTTTAATTTCTGGACTGAATTTACTTCTGTTTTAATATCTTCTGCTCATTTGAGTTATTTTAATTATGCTATTTCATACCACTTACATAAAATACTGCTTCATCTCAAAAGAAGGGAAGATCCTTAATAGCTTATCTTTTTACACAAAAGCACTTAAGCACTTTGTTTCTTAGTAAAACAAGAGGTGTCTAAGCTTGGCTGACTTCCACAGTTTTCTCTGATTTGGCAGTGAGGCTTACAGCCCAACAGAAAAGAAGAGTGACATTTATTTGGCAAGCCCCTGTGCAAGAAATGTATTTGAGTGACTGTACACAGCATCCCAGACCCCTCAACAAACTGTATTAGAATGTGGATAAAGTGGCTAATGGAGTGTCAGAATGCAGCAGTAGGGCCACAAAAACACATCTAGGGAACGTACTATAAAAGAGGAGGAAACTCTGGGCAAGTGTCATAGTCTACTCAACTTCTCACCTGTAACTCTGCAGATGGGCCAAAGAGAAAGATACTAGCAAATCTTCTACATCTGCTGAAAGCCAGTCAAATCTATCAGAATCCAAACTGGAGACTTGGTTATCTTCTATTTTATGGGAAGGGGAAGGGGAAGGGGAAGGGGAAGGGGAAGGGGAAGGGGAAGGGGAAGGGGAAGGGGAAGGGGAAGGGGAAGGGGAAGGGGAAGGGGAAGGGGAAGGGGAAGGGGAAGGGGAAGGGGAAGGGGAAGGGGAAGGGGAAGGGAAGGGGAAGGGGAAGGGGAAGGGGAAGGGGAAGGGAAGGAAGGGAAGGGAAGATGCTTGGTTCCACGACCAGCAGTCTGCCATTAAATAGAGAACTATATACTTCATTAGTTCTTGAAATCTTGGCACAGAAAAAGAATGTTTGGCAGGAGTTTAAGTATCATGATATTAAAGATCATTATTAGGATAATAAAGGCAGCCTACTTGAAGTACTACCGGATCTTATCAACTGAGGGTGAGGAAGAAATGTTCTTGTAGGCAGTGCTGGCTTATGAAGCCTCCTGTTTATCTACATTAAGAATATGCAAGCAGCTTTTAACCTAGCTTCCAAAACAAACAAACAAACAAACAAAAACAAAACAAAACAAACAAACAAACAAACAAAAAAAAAAAGAGTGAGCACTGTGCAGAACTTACAAGTTCCACAGCATACATTTAAATGAATTTTGGATGTCTGCTTCCCACAAACTCCTGCCTATCTTCCATTTTTCAGTGACACACACCCTATGCTGTCAATTTATGTCTTTCAGGGCCAGGAGAAGGATGTAGAGACAATGGTTTTAGTTTAGTTTAGTTTTAGTGTGATGCCTATTTCAAATCTTTTCTTTGAGGCTGGAGTACATTGCTTTAAAGAAGTGGTGCACATACATCACTGCATGCAGAGTAGCTATGATTGGAGCACATGGTTTCATGTGTCCGGTGCATTTGGATCCTGTTCCTGTGAAGCCAACTGCTCTGCAGAAGCACATAGACATTTTCAAAGCTTTGTAATCATCTAAAATGCACTTTGATAGGATTGAAGCAAAAGTGTTATTGTTTACAGATATATATTAAAATTGTAGTACATGAAAGGTACCATGTAAAATACATAATTTCAATATAATTGAATCCAAAATGCAGAGCTACAATAGAATGCTATTATATGACAACTGTATTTTACTGACACAAAACTATAGTGCATTTAGAACTTAATAGAAAATGCCATATTCGGGGGGAGGAGGGATTTCTACCTTTTTGTAATGAAGTCAGGTATTTTTTTCTCTCTTAAATCACATGATTTTCAGCTTTAGAGCAAACTTGTTCTAGGTTCTGAAGTACTACAAACCAGCTGCATGCAATTACTTTTGCTGTGGTAACAGTCACTTCTTTGTAGAAACACTGTCCTTAACTCTCAGATATCCTACTTTCTCTCTTGAGTTGCTTTCTTAATTATGGTTGCTAGTGTTTTAAATACAGGCTGAGCTGTAACATTTTGGCATTGCCCAGGCTTATTGCAACAAGAACATCTGCTGTCTCTCAGAAGGATCTCTGCATGGCTTCTGTCCCAGCAGTGCTGTTTATGGTTTGGGCCTGCTCTTTCTTCCTTTATCTGTGTGTGTAGGACTTGGCATTCTGCTATAAAAGAAGATGTACTAATGCTACAACTACCTAAGCATTTAAGGTTAACCTGTACATTGCAAGTACTGCCAGGTTTCAACTTAATCCATACTTGAGTCCCCTCCCAAAGGACAATCTTTCTACTTTGTACCAACCTGGAGCCTTGTAGTTGATATTGCCAGCTATAGCCATTTAAAATCATGGAACAGAACTCAAAATGCCCTAAGATTTTAAATTAAATTTATCTTTTATTTCAATTCTGTTTCTTATCGGTTTATGTTACAGGAAATTCTCATTTTTGAGAATTATCATTAAACACAAGGTTCAGTAAAGAGAGAGGATCTATTCCTTTTGCTGCTTGTGCAAAAGCTAAAATTCTCATGTTTGAGAACGCTGGGTTATCTTAGGCAACAAAATAATATAATACAGGGAGAAAAAAAGGGGGACTGTTTGACAATATTGTGTTACTGATGTTCCAGTAGCATTATTCTCAATGATACCTTCTCTAAGTTCACTAAAGTGGCAGTCACCCATAAGTTTCAAATACTTGCAAACAATAAAGACTAAGAAGGGATACACAAATACATTTATTTATTTTAAAAGCAGTGGAAGTTGTTAGAAACATCCCTCCCCTTTGTACAGAATTTTTTATAAGAAACTCTACATAGCTAAACAGGCACACCCTATGAAGAATGGAATCTGTTAAAAGTGAAATGGTTATCAATTCCTTGGTAACAAAGTAATTTTTCCCATAAGAATTAATGTAACGTTGGGGCACGGACACAGTGCAGGTACTTTAAGAAACACAGCTAGTCTAAGTATGTAGTGAAAGTATGTGTGGCATGGAAAATTTAGCAGCAGGAGCAGGACAGGCAACTGGAAGAAATGTTGGCTTTTTGGAATAGACAACTGTTCTGAAAGATCACTGCTTCAGCAATGAAACTGAAGGCAGTCTTTTCCTCTGAGGTCTTTTTTGCCTCTTTCTGAAAGGTTATGTTGTCAGCATCACTGTCTTTCTTAGATGAATCAAAGACAAAAAAAAAGTGAAGGATGGAAAGCAAGGCAACAATGGCAATTAGCAGAGCAAGGTATAAAATAACTGGTGACAAACTCTGAAACAGTGGATGGAGATCTAACAGACTATGGTGCCACCAGTTCTGAAGATCAGCCATCTTTCCTTCTGAAATCCCAATGATATTTTATTGTTTTTTTCTTCTTTATCTGCCTTTATAGTTCCAGCTGTGCACATTTCTGGTCAGTGCAACCTCTTCCAGAAATGCCTTGCTGCATGGGAAAAAAATATCCACCCTGCAATTCTGTGGAAAAATTTGGAAGCTCAGCAAGGTGCTTTCCTGAAAGCCCAGCAAGGTGCTTTCCTGAAAGCATTCCTTTGATATTATATATTCTCAACCTTGGTAAAGAACATCTCTGCAGGTAGCATGACTGTGCAAGACTGAGCAAGTTATAGATTTTAACAAGAGGGTAATAGTGTGACAGTGCAGGTAATCAGGTAGTGATCATTTCAGATGAGACCACACACTTCACCATAAATGATAGAAAGCTGTGATTTTTTATTTATTTATTTTTTGTGTTGAACCTACTAACTAAACAGAATACTTCTGAGCCAAGGCTCAACAGCCCATACCTTGTTTGCTTCAGAACTGTGAGTTCTGCCTCTTCATAGCAGAGATCCACAAGTCTACCCTCTGGTAATTCTCCATAGTGTGAAGGAAACTATAAGGGGTTTCTAAAGTGGGGATTCTGTAAGATAAGAGGACGCAGCCAGGCTAACTTGGAGAAGTGACAGACTGCAACCTTGCAGAGAAACAGCTTTCCTCAATCTCATATAGTCTACAAGGGTGTGACATACTTACTGAGTACTGATGAATGGGCATATATTGTGGATAGTGTGTGGAAGAAAACATGGTTCTGTTCTGGGATTTCAAAGAGGAGAAGAAACTGGTCTGAGAGGTGGAAGAAGAAGCTCTCTGGAAAAAGGCAGCAAGTCCATGTTGTGGGGTAACCTCAGGTAGGCAGCTAAGCAAGAGATAGCTGCTTGTTCACCCCCTCCCCCATTGGAATGGGATAGAGAATCATAGAATATTCTGAGTTACAAGGGGCCCACACCGATCATTGAGTCCAACTCCTGCATCCCAAAAGGACCAACCGAAAAAAACAGACCATGTATCTGATAGCATTGTCTAAATGCTTCTTGAATTCCAGTGTGCTCGGTGCTGTGACGACTTCCCTGGGAAGCCTGTTCCAGTACTCAACCACCCTCTTGGTGAAAAACCTTTCCCTGAACTGCCCCTGTCAGAGCTTCAGGTTGTATCCTTGTGTCCTATTGTGGGTCACCAGAAAGTGCCTGCCCCTCCACTGTCCCTCAAGAGGAAGTTGTAGACTGCAGTGAGGTCTCCCCTCAGTCTCCTCTTCTCTAGACTGAACAAACAAAGTGACTTCAACTGCTTCTCATATGTAGTGCCCTGCAGACCCTTCACCATCTTTGTAGCCCTCCTTTGGACCTTGTCTAAAATTTTTGTATCTTTCTTGTACTGTGGTGCCCCAAACTGCACACAGTACTTGGAGGTGAGGCTGGACCAGCACAGAGTGGAGCAGGACAATCACTTACGTTGATCAGCTGGCAATGCTGTACTTGATGCACCCAAGGATATGGTTGGCCCTCCTGGCCTCCAAGGCACACTGCTGGCTCATATTCAGTTTGTTGACCAAAACCCAAAGATCCCTTTCTGTGAGGTTGATCTCTAGCATCTTGTCCCCCGGTCTGCACATATAACCAGGGTTGCCTCTTCCCAAGTGCAGAATCTGGCACTGCTCTTGTTAAACTTCATTTTTTTGGTGATTGCTCAGCTCTCTAATTTGTCCAGAGATCTCTGCAAAGCCTCATCACCCTCAACAGAGTCAACAGCTACACCCAATTTGGTATGGTCCCTGAACTTGCTCAAAAAGCCTTCATCTAAATCATTTATGAAAACATTGAATAGGACTGGTAATAAATTGGATTCCTGGGGAACCCCACTACTGTCAGGGAACCATCCTGATGTAATCCTATTTACAAGAGCTGTTTGGGCCTGACCTGTCAGCCGGTTGTTTACCCATTTTATTATGCTTTTATCTAACTGTATTCTGGTAATTTGTCCAGAAGGATACTGTGAGAGACAATATCAAAAGCTTTACTGAAATCCAGACAGATTTCATCCATTGTCTTCCTTTGGTCAACCAGATGGGTGATCTTGTTGTATAAGGAAATTAAATTTGTTCAACATGACCTTCCCCTTGTGTACCCATGTTGGCTGTTACCAATGTCTGCATTGCCTTTCAGGTGTTTTTCAATAACTCCCAAAATAATCTTCTCCACAGTTTTACCAGGAACTGAAGTGAGATTGACAAGGCCTATAATTGCCAAGATCTTCCTTCTTGCCGTTCTTGAAAACTGG